GCTGTGCGCCTGCCCATTCTGCCCCTCGAAGCCATGGCTGATGCTGCTGCTGCTGCCGATGCTGCTGCTGCAGCAGCAGCGGCGGCGGTGGCAGCGGCTGTGGCTGCGGGTGGGGTGGAAGCAGCTGGTGAGGATGTGAATGGGAGTGGGGGAGAAAGCACTCCCTTGCTTCGGAGTGGTGATGGTGCTGCAGCGGCAGGAGGAGGGGAGGGTGGGAGTGGTGGCGGGAGCGAGGAGAGGGTAGGGGGAGTGGTGCTGGTGTATGGGCTCATGGTGCTTGTGCTGCATGGGGATGCCAGAAGGTGAGGATTGGTGGATGTTTGATTTGATCTTTAACTAGTCAACTTAACAGCCAGTGGAGGGGCAGGGAAGGAGAGGAGAGGGTGGGGGGAGTGGTGCCGGTGTATGGGCTCATGGTGCTTGTGCTGCATGGGGATGCCAGAAGGTGTGTGAGTGACAGTAATAAGCTGTGGCTTGTGCTGTAAGCTGTTTTTTAGGACTTCTCAAAATGGTTGCTTCTAAGCCTCAGCAGCAGACTATGCCTTTTCTGTACCCTCTCCCTCCTCTCCTCCCCTCAAAAGTTGTCTCTTCGCACCTTTTCTTCGAGGCAGTGGAAGGCGCATGAAGTGGAGATGGTGGAGTGGTAGCAGCAGACCAGAGCAGACCAGGTAGCCATGGCTCTCTCACACGCTGCAGTGCTGGAGTGGAGGAGACGCCTCAGCACGAACCTCTGCTGCCCTCTCCCGTCTCTCCTGGTTGCAGGCAGTGGAAGGCGCATGGGGTGGAGATGGTGGAGGTGGTATTCGACCAGGTGGCAGTGGCCCTCTCACACGCCGCAGTGCTGGAGGAGACGCCTCAGCACGAACCTCTGCTGCCCTCTCCTCTACTTCACTCCCCTCACTTCCTTTTCTCTCTTCCTCTCTTCACCCCTCCTCCCACCAGGCAGTGGAAGGCGCACGAGGTGGAGATGGTGGAGGTGGTAGCAGACCAGGTGGCCGTGGCTTTGGCATCACTTCGCCTCACCTCAGCTCTGTGCTCTCTTCCCCTCCCCCTCCTCTCCTCTCCCCCCCCCACCAGGCAGTGGAAGGCACACGAGGTGGAGATGGTGGAGGTGGTGGCGGATCAAGTGGCCGTGGCCCTCTCACACGCTGCAGTGCTCGAGGAGACGCAGGTGAGGGGTGCTGGTGGGAATCATTAGGAACCTTAAACTTAAATAAGGCAGAACAGGTGCCAGTGGCCCTCTCACATGCAGCATTGCTCGAGGAGACGAGACGCAGGTGAGGGTCGATGGAGGAGTCAATTTGTTGTGTTTTCAGACTTAGTGGGGGTTGAATGAAGGGGAGACGCCTGAGGGGGAACTGCAAAGAGCAACCTGATTCCTCTCTTCCCTTTATTACGCTCGCTTCTCTCCCTCTCCTCTTTCCTCCCAACCAGCGGCGAAGGGATGAGTTGTAGTAAGAGAACCCAACGCTGCAGGCAGCGCGGCAGAGAGCAGAGATGGCAGTGATGGCGAGAAGAAACTGTTCTCATTTCTCCTCTTCCCACCCTTGTCATCCTTCTCCCTCTCCTCTACCCCTCTCCCCCCAACCAGCGGCGAAGGGACGAGCTGGAGGAGAAGAATCGAACGCTGCAGGCAGCGAGGCAGAGGGCAGAGGTGGCAGTGATGGCGAGGAACGATTTTCTGGCCGTGATGAACCACGAGATGCGCACACCTCTTCACTCCATCACTGCCCTGGCGTCCATTCTTAATGTGAGTGAGCTCTTGAATACTGCTCCTCAGGGAAACGGAGTGAAGAAGTGGCAGTGATGGCGAGGAACGATTTTCTGGCCGTGATGAACCACGAGATGCGCACGCCGCTGCACTCCATCACTGCTCTTGCGTCCATTCTCAATGTGAGTTGCTGATCACTGTGCCTGCTGTTGAGGCCAGTTGAAGTCAGAAGGCAGCGGGCAGAGGTGGCAGTGATGGCTAGGAACGACTTCCTGGTCGTGATGAACCATGAGATGCGCACTCCACTGCACTCCATCACTGCTCTGGCGTCCATTCTTAATGTGAGTGAGCTCTTGAATACTGTCCCCAGGAAACGGAGAGCAGAAGTGGCAGTGATGGCAGGGAACGACTTCCTTGCAGTGATGAATGAACCATGAGATGCGCACTCCCCTGCACTCCCCTGCACTCCCCTGCACTCCATCACTGCGCTGTTGCATACGAGTCTTCTCACTATTCACTGCTTCATACCTACATTGCTCTTCTACCCCCACTCTCAGGAGGAGGACCTGACCCCAGAGCAGGCACCCATGGTGGCAACTGTGCTGCGCAGTGCATCGCTGCTCATCTCATTGTAGTGACACCCGCACCCACTCAACTATCCACCCTCCCCTTTGCCCTCTCCCACCACCAGGAGGAGGACCTGACCCCAGAGCAAGCACCAATGGTGGCCACTGTGCTGCGCAGTGCATCCCCTCACTCCTTTACAACCCCTCCCCCTTTCCCCCCCTCCCCTCCCCCCCCATGCTCCACCAGGAGGAGGACCTGACCCCAGAGCAAGCACCAATGGTGGCAACTGTGCTGCGCAGTGCCTCCCTGCTCACATCGCTCATCACTGACGTGCTCGACTTCAGCCGACAGGAGGAGAGGTGAGAGGGAGGTGGGAGAGGTGAGCTTGTAAGTGTGCTGTGCTATGCTGCACTGTGCTGTGCTGTGCTGCGCAGTGTGTCCCTGCACACTTCACTCATCACTGTAGTGCTAGACTTTAGCCGACAGGAGGAGAGGTGAGCTCTTAGGCGATTGCAACCCATGCTGTGCTTGTTCACCTCCTCTCATTGCCACCATTCCTCCCGATTCCATTTTCCGCCACCCTCCATCCCATCCTCTTCCCTTCATTCCCTTCCACATTATCTTGACATCCTGCATGTAGGAAAGCAGTGGAGAGGTACCCCTTGGACCTTCGAGTTCACAGAAGAAAACCTCTCTTTTCCATAGGCTCGCTCCATTCCTCCCCTGCATCACACCCCCTCCAATCTGCATCTGGAGAAGCGTCCCTTTGATCTGTGCAAGCTGTGCAGGGACGCTGGGAAGCTGACGTGGCTGCTGGTGCGGTCCAAAGGGCTGCAGTCCACTTTATCCTGTGGACTGCAATGCAACCCCTTGGACTGCAGTCCAGTTTGGTCCTGTTTTTATCGACTTGACGTCCTCCCACCCTCCATCCCCTTCTTTAACCCCCCAACCCCACACCTTACGACCCCAGTCTGCATCTGGAGAAGCGTCCCTTTGACCTGCGCAAGCTGTGCCGGGAAGCCGGCAAGCTAGCGTGGCCGCTGGTGCGGTCCAAGGGGCTGCGCTTCTCGCTGGAAGTCGCGGGGGTGGTGCCTCGGTACGTGGTGGGCGATGAGAAGCGGCTCTTACGTCTCATGCTGCATCTGATCGGGCGAGCCGTGAAGAAGACCGATGAGGTGAGTGGAGAGGGATGGGTGGGGGGGGGTAGTCTTGCTGCTGGTGTGCTTCAGTGGTGCCGCGGTATGTGGTGGGCGATAAGAAAAGGCTGCTGCGACTCATGCTGCATCTTATTGGGCGAGCCGTGAAGAAGACGGATGAGGTGAGCCGGAGAGGAGGGGGGAATAAGGAGACTGCTGCATGACCCCCCGGCCCCACTCCTCTCAGTCTTTCTTATTCTGTGTCGTACCACTCCCCCTTACTCCCCTCTCTCGAGCAGGGCTTTGTGTCAGTGCGCGTATCAGTGGATGATGGGCAGACCCCCCGCCCGCACTCCTCCCAGTCCTCCTTCACTACCGGTGATGGCTCTGCTGCTGCTTCCTGCTGCCGCTGCCAGACCCCTCAACCCTACCGCCTCTCTGCTGCTGTCTTCGCCCCATGTCTCCCCAATCCCCAAGCAGGGTTTTGTGTCGGTGCGGGTGTCAGTGGATGATGGGCAGACCCCCTGGCCGCACTCCTCCCAGTCCTCCTTCACTGTTGGTGATGGCCCGGCTGCGTGTTTCCTCCCTGCTGCTGCTGCAGCTGCAGCCAATAGAACAGTGGACAAGCCCCTCAACCCTGCCACCGCCTCTCTCCCCTCCTCTGCTGCTGTCATCACCCCATATCTCTCCAATCCCCAAGCAGGGCTTTGTGTCGGTGCGCGTGTCAGTGGACGATGGGCAGACTCAACCCCCCCACTCCTCCCAGTCCTCGTTCACTGCCAATGATGCTTCGTTCCTCCCTGCTGCTGCTGCGGCAGCTGCCGCCGCAGGGGAGAATTCGCTCGGCCTCCAGCCACACACACCGTGGGAGGTAGGAACTGGGGCTTGTGGAATGGAATCAACTGTATTGCTGCTGTTGTCTCAAGCCCCTCTCTGTTGCCTTTGCAATGATCCATGTGGCCTCACGTGTTTATTTTATGGCTTTTTTCCCAAGTCAATTCTAAGTTTCATCCACTTTGGCACTTGATGCAACCTTTGTGCCCATGCAGCTGCTGCTGGGCCAAGATCTCATGAACATTCGTGTGGATATCAAGGACTCGGGGTGCAGCTTACAACCCTCTCAACCCTCTCAACCTTTGAAACCAATTCCCCCCTCTCCCTCTGCAGCTACTGCTGGGCCAAGATTTGGTGAACATTCGTGTAGATATCAAGGACTCGGGTTGCGGTCTGACAGTCATGGAGTTTAGGCAGCACCAGGCGCTACTGCTGGGTCGTAACCATCTCAAACCTCCCATTCCCCCTTCCCGCCCGTGCAGCTGCTGCTGGGCCAAGATTTGGTGAACATTCGTGTAGATATCAAGGACTCGGGGTGTGGACTCACAGCCGTGGAGTTTAGGCAGCACGAGGCATTGCTGCTGCAGCAGCAGCGAGCGAGTGATGCGGATGGGGAGAGTGGAGTAGGAGGGGGAGGAGAAAGAGGAGGAAGAGGAGGAGAGGGGAATGTGAGCGGAGTAGAGGGAGCAGGGGAAGAGAGGAAGGGGGGGACGTTGCTAGGGTTCGAGATCTGCCAGAAGTTTGTCCAGCTGATGGGGGGTTACATGTGGATTGAGAGCAGTGGGCAGCGGTTGGGGGCGACGGTGACGTTTGTTGTGCGGTTGGTGCTGGATCGAACCAAGAGGCAGAATTTGGGGTTCAGGGAGAGGGGGGGGCGGGTTTCTAGCAGCAGAGCGAGGAGGAGAGGTAGAAGGGCAGGGCTTGATGGGGTTGGTGGGGGAGAGGAGAGGAGCAATGGGTTGCTGTGGAATAGCGGGTTTGATGGTGCTGGTGATGGTGTGGATGGGGAGGAGGACAGGGGAAGGGGGACGAGGAAGGGCGGTGAAGAGTATTCGTTTATGGATGGGGATGGTGATGAGGAGGATGATGAGGAGGATGAGGAGGATGATGAGGATGATGATGAGGATTCGGCATTTAGTGACAGCACTGTTTCGTCGATGAATTCTTATGTACAGGAGCTTGAAGGAGTACATGTGCTGGTGAGTGCATGGATGTGTGTATGTCCTCTCTCCTGTCCTGCTGTCTTGTGGCCCTTTTCCCCCTCGTCACACTGTTCCCTCCTCCCCAACAACACCCTCCTTCCTTCACTCTCTCCCTTCCGTTGCCCACTTCCTTCCCTGATTTCCGTCCCCCTCTCCCTAACACGTTTCTTCCTACTCCCTCCCTCCTCTGCTCCTCTCCCTCAGCTAGTCGAGGACAATGTGGCGAATCGCATCGCGACACATCAGATGCTGCTGACGCTGCGGTGCCACGTCAGCAGCGTGGGCAGTGCGCAGGAGTGCCAGATGGAGCTGACCACGCGCAAGAGCCCTACAGTCCCGCCAGTGGATGTCGTGCTGCTGGATGTCTGCATGCCCGATGTTGATGGATTCGAAGTCGCCCGTCGCATCCACTGCCTCTTCCGGTAGGCTCTCTTCCACTGCCTTTTCTTCAGAATTAAGTTTAGAGAGGTGTCACGCAAGAGCCCTGCAGTCCCACCGGTGGATGTCTGCATGCCCGACGTTGACGGCTTTGAAGTTGCCCGCCGCATCCACTGCCTCTTACGGTGCGTTCTCATGCCTACCCCCGCTGTTTTTGTATCGAGCTTGGAGTCGTTCCACAAGTGCACTGTCATCCTTTCTCCTTTGCAACCTCCCCTCACTCCCGGTCCACTGTCATCCTTTCCCAGTTGCACCTTTCCCAGTTGCACCTTTCCCTGTTGCAAGACAGCCTCCTTCATTGCTTCCGGGCCCCGTTTCCACGATTCCTTGCCCTCTCCCTTGCCCATTCCCTGTCCAATGGCAGTCCCGACGAGCGGCCTTTGATAGTGGGTCTCACTGCACGCACAGACAGTGGCATGGCAGAGGCATGTGTAGCAGCTGGCATGGATGCTGTATTGCTCAAGCCAGTCACAGTCAGACAGCTGGGAGCTACTCTGTGCCACGTGCTCAATGGCGTGTAAAGGGGCTGCATCTGCAGGTTATGATGACGTATGCGCCCGTTTGGTGTGATCTGTAACACAACCAACATATCTGTCCAATTATCGTGAGATTTGTTGTCCGGCCGGTTATACCGTACTTGCACGAGTAATGCCTTGAAAATTAGCTGGCTGCTTTCTCCCATATACGATACAGTCTTCCTTCAAGATGGCTCACTTGTTTGCATCTGCAAATCGGAACATTAAATTCAGCAACACTCCACGTCTAATTTCATCATTCAAAAATACAAGCTCCAGCAATCCAGCAAAATCCCAGCCATGTGGCACTTACGCAGCATATCTATCACCTTGGAGGAAGCTGTCAACATGGAAGCCAAACTGGTTACATCCAGACTGAGATCTCTAGACCAGCGCAGCAATGGTAGCAGCAAGAAGGGCCGCTAGACCAGCGCCAAGCAGGGAGCCAGAGGATGCAGCAGCCTTGGGGGCAGGTGGGGGCGAGCTGGGAGTGGGGCTTGGAGGGGGTGAGCTAGGAGGGGATGAGCTGGGAGGGGTAGCAGGAGAGGATGCCGTTCCTGGAACCTCAGGAGTAATGGTGGCTGAGCAGGCAGAAATGATGGGGTTAACCACCTCCGTGGGGTCCAGGGTTGTGCAGTTGGCTGCAGAGACCACCGCACCCGTCTCCAACTGCAAAAGCAACACCAGAAGTGCTAGTTAGCATGTTGCACATAGTTACAGTTACTGTTGACAAAATTGGAAAACGGTATTTGGATCAAAGATTTGCCAGAAAAGGCTGAGGGTGACACGAAACACACCTGAGCAATATTGTTGAAAAAATACTTTTTGGGAGCAGGCACATCGCCAGGATGCATGATGGAGATCAGATCGGCAAGGACCACCTGGGGCTGAGCAATGGCGCTCTCATACCAGTCTGCACAGGTGATGATCAGCTAAGAGCAAGGTTAGTACTGGTAAGAAAAGGATGATTCCAAATGTGAAGGGACATAACCTCATTTGCATACCAGTGGCATAGTTGGGAGCTCCAGTGGCGCGGCCATACATGCTCCAGACATTGGGAGTGGCCAGGAATTTGTAGGTGGCAGTGTCAGTCACAGAAATGCCAGCATTCTTTGCAAAGACACCAATGCTGTAGTCTGACGGGCCAGTCAACAGGTAGGTCTCGTCAATGACGATGTCAAGAGTCTGCCATTGCGACAAGGATTGTCCAATTGTTCAGCTCAGATATCCGTGACTGAATTCCAGGATTATTAACCATAGCGAAGCGAGGATGTCTTACCGCAAGCAGTGTCTGGAAAGCCTTCTTATCAGATGGAAGAGACATGTTGTAGATCCTCAAATACGCCTTTGGGGGGCTCACACCACCAGCGTCCGCAACATACTGAAAGAATCGAGTAGCACGTTAGAGTTCGTTCATACCAAGTTATACACGCAGCGAGCACTGCACTTGACAGATAGTCAAGACGCACCTGAATCTTGTAGGTAGAACCAGAGACGGACCACGAACCCTGTTAGGGAAAACATAAAACAGGTAAGTTAGCATCCAGAACAGCTGTAATATACTCTCTGATAACATTTCCCCACTGTTTCGGACCCACCATGTAATAGCCCATCCAGCCAACCATAGGTGTGGAGGTTTTGGGAGCAGATGCTTTCAAACAGTTGTATGATGTCTCAATCTGGAAAAGCCAGACAGGTAAGGCAAGACAAGGCAGAAAAGTTCCTTAAGCATTTGAGCCAGGTTTTATCTGATCGCCAATGAACTCAACAGCTTCGAAATAAACAGACGGCTTACGTCAGAGTAGACTTGCGACGCGCGCGACTCAGCATTGAACCACAGAGCCATGTACTTGATCCACTCCGCGCGCTGAAAGACGGATAACGCCGGATTAGGGCCGTAACCTAAATGATTGAATTGACATAAGAACAGAGGATCCTCTGAAATATGCAGGCCAAAAACAATGAATGCTTTATGTTCACCTTGAGAGGCCCAGGGTCGGTCGACGTGTCCATCGAGATATAGTTCATGGGAAATGGCTTCAGGTTGTTCAATCCAGCAAAAACCGAACCAGAGAACAGGCCGTCGCTCTCATTGAAGACCTTCATGGCACCGTCCGCCAAAAGCTTCTGAACGCATGGAGCTACAGTGTAGCTGCTCGTCTCTTTGAGAAGGCTGGTCACACCAAGCATCTGCGGGTGAGGTCAGAACGAAGTGCTCAGTGACTGTTTAGTGAAAACGCAACATTGCTAGATGAATATTGATACCATGCATGCGGCTTGGATGCTACCGAATTATTGGGAATAGGGATAGTTACCTGGACGAAGCTAACTGAACGTTCCATAAGCAGAACGGTTTGAAAGAAGCCAACATGCCACAATCACAGCAGACAAGTTAGAGCACTGCCACGACGAGGTAGGCAAATGATGTTTGGAGCGAGAGTGCATAAAACAAAGCGAAATAGTGTCCCACCTGCAACGGTCGAGTCGACGGCAAAACCCTTCAGGGGAATCTCAAAGAACCGGGTGGTGGCAGCAGGAAAGTTTGAGGGCTTAACAGCTCCACACTGACACAGGCAAACCGACAATAACACACTAAGTCAGGACGCATCCAGGAGCAGTGAACACGACCGCAATGTGCTGATCTGGAGCTGAGTTTGAGGGCTTAACAGCTCCACACTGACCAAGGCAATACAGATAACAACAACACGTCAGGACGCATCCAGGAGCAGTGAACACGACCGCAATGTGCTGATCTGGAGCAGAGTTTGAGGGCTTAACAGCTCCACACTGACTCAAGCTATACAGATAATACCGGAGTAGTGAACACGAGCATAAAGGGATACACAAGGACGCATCCCGGAGTAGTGAACACGACCACAATGTGCTTCCAGATCTGGAGCTGAGATTGGGATGTACCTGATAGAGGACGTAGGTAGTGTTATCATAGCTGTCCTTAACGACCTTGTAGTAGTTACCGTACTGCACCGTGAAGTCATTCGCAGTCTCCACGATAGTCTGGCTGATCGGCAGAGCGAACGGCTCGTCCTGGTACTGGTCCGGGAAATAGTTCACGGTGGGATCGAAGTTCGTGATGCAGCCATCCTGAGCTTGCTGTGCAGACGAAGCCTGAACGGCCAGCGAAGCCACCAACAACGCGATCAGTGGGTAAGCCATGGCTTGTCTTCCTGAAAGAAAGCCCGGCCAGACACAAATAATGAAATAGACATTTTGGGGGATGAGGTGGGATTATGAAGAGGGAGGCGAAGGAGCGCCGAGCAGAAGGACGCGACGTCAGCGTGCAGGAGTCGTGGCTGGGAGGGGGGGAGGCGAGGAGGGGGGCGGGGGGGGATGCGGGGAATGCGCAAAAAAAAATCCAATCCACCCTCCTCCTCGGAGGAGGAGGGGTGTGTTGGCCGCTAACAGCATAGCGGAGGTCGAAGCGAAGGTTTTACTCTACAGTATAAGGAGCGCATGCATTGCGGCTGGTGCCAGCCGCGGCCACGTCGGACAATCGGCAAAAGCCCCCTGGCTGGGGAAGAGCCATAGGACACCGCTAACGTGGCCGACAAGCAATCCAGTGCCACACAGCATACTACAGTGGGCCAATATCATCCAGGCTCAGATTGCCTGTGCGGGTTTGCAACTGTACTCAACCAACAAAAACACTGTTTTACGATGTAGTGACTAGGAGTTCTGGCATGTTCTCCTACACAGCCACAAAACAAATATGAACAGCAACTCACTCACACATACCCCTGGTAAAAACATAAATATATAACCAGAAGATATCCTGGACAAATTTCGGGAAGAATCAACCCTTAGGGCAGGTCCAGCCCGTACGGTTCATCCGTCGTTGTCTTGAGATGAGAACATAAAGAGAAAGATGACACTTGCTACAAGCAAACATTCTCAAATTCGTAAACAATTATAATCAGCCATGTAGCGGATTTTCAAGGTACTACAGTATGGAATCCAACAATCCATGTGACAATTCTCAGACACAAGCTCCAACCCAACCATCAAGCGGATTTTCAATCATTTGGCGCTTACTACAAGGGCATGTCTTTGAAGACAGCTCTCAATACGGAAGCCAACCAGGATACATCCAGAATGGATACCTCTAGACCAATGCTGCAATAGTAGCAGCAAGAAGGGCAGCTAGACCAGCGCCAAGCAGGGAGCCAGAGGATGCAGCAGCCTTGGGGGCAGGTGGGGGCGAGCTGGGAGGGGGTGAGCTGGGAGGGGGTGAGCTAGGAGGGGATGAGCTAGGAGGGGTAGCAGGAGGGGATGCCGTTCCTGGAACCTCAGGAGTAATGGTGGCTGAGCAGGCAGGGATGATGGGGTTAACCACCTCCGTGGGGTCCAGGGTTGTGCAGTTGGCTGCAGAGACCACAGCACCCGTCTCCAACTGCAAACGCAACACCAGAAAAGCTAGTTAACATGTTGGACATAGTCACACTATTGTTGAAGGGCTTTTGAATCAAACACTGGCCAGGAGAAGTGGGGTAGGAAACATACCTGAGCAACATTGTAGAAATAGTACTTCTCGGGAACGGCCACGTCGCCAGGATGCATGATCGAGATCAGCTCAGCAAGGACCACCTGGGGCTGAGCAATGGCGCTTTCATACCAGTCTGCACAGGAGGCAGTGAGATAAGAGCAAGGTTATTAAGAAACAAATGCTCCAAATGCGAAGAGGGGACATAACCTATGTTGCCAAGGATGGAAACCATATGCGTACCAGTGGCGTAGTTGGGAGCTCCAGTGGCGCGGCCATACATGCTCCAGACATTCGGAGTCGCTAAGAACTTGTAAGTGGCGGTATCAGTGACAGAGATGCCAGCGTTCAGGGCAAACGCATCAATGCTGTAGCCTGACGGGCCAGTCATCAGATAGGTCTCGTCAATGACGATGTCCAGAGTCTGCCATTGCAACCAATTTTTCCAGATCGTTCAGCACAAAAGTTAGTGAATGACTTCATGCAGAACCAGGCATAGCGACGCGTGAAATCCCTACCGCAAGCAGTGTCTGGAAAGCCTTCTTATCAGATGGAAGAGACATGTTGTAGATCCTCAAATACGCCTTTGGGGGGCTCACACCACCAGCGTCCGCAACGTACTGAAAGAAACATATTGCACGTTAGAGTTCGTTCACACCAAGTCATACACGCAGCGAGCACTCCAATTGGTAGAGAGCTAACACACACCTGAAGCTTGTACGTAGCACCAGAGACGGTCCACGAATCCTGGTAGGGAAAACAAAAGGCGCACATACAAACAACAGGCAAGTTAACATCCATAACAGCTGTTTTGCACTTTCTGAGAACATTTCTTCCCCTCTTTCGGACTCACCATAAAATAGCTCAGCCAGCCAACCACTGGCGTGGTGGTTTTAGGGGCAGATGCCTTCAAGCAGTTGTACGACGTCTCAATCTGGAAAAAGGTGAATCAAGGCAGAAAGGTTCCTTGAGCGTTTGTAACTTTGGACCACAGTTTTTCTGATGGCCAGCAAACTCAACAGCTCGAAAATGACTACTTACGTCAGAGTAGACTTGCGACGCGCGCGACTCAGCATTGAACCACAGAGCCATGTACTTGATCCATTCCGCGCGCTGGAAGACAAGAGAACCGTATCATAGCTTCAGATTAGAACTGTTACATGGACAGATAAACTTGACATGAAACAGAGGACATTCCCTTCACGCGCACCTTGAGAGGCCCAGGGTCGGTCGACGTGTCCAGCGAGACATAGTTCTTGGGGAATGGCTTCAGGGTGTTCATTCCGGTGAAAACCGCACCAGGGAAAAGACCGTCGCTCTCATTGAAAACCTTCATGGCACCGTCAGCCACGAGCTTCTGAACGCATGGAGCTACAGAGTAGCTGCTCGTCTCGTTGAGAAGGCTGGTCACGCCCAGCATCTGCGGGTGAGGCCAGGACAATACTTAGTGGGACCGCTAGTTGAAAATCTACATCCATGCGGCTGAAACGCTACAGCATATTCGATCTTTCAAGAAAATTACCTGGACAAAGCTAACTGAACGATCCATAAGCAGTACGTTCGACGAAAGCATACACACAATCACAGCATAATAAGAAGAGCATTGTGACAAGTTAGTCAGACGAAATCTGGAGAAAGAAAATTAAAGCACAAAAAAACGCGAAATACAGTCCCACCTGCAACGGAAGAGTCGACGGAGAAACCCTTCAGGGGAATCTCAAAGAACCGGGTGGTTGCAGGGAAGTTCGTGGGCTTGGTAGCTCCACACTACAATAAACACAATAAACGCAAGCCAAATGGTGAAGTTAGACTCAGGACAGATTCACAGATTGCGAGCATGACCGCATTGTGTATCCAGATCTGAAGCTGAGAATGGGATGTACCTGATAGAGGACGTAGGTGGTATCATCGTAGCTGTTCTTAACGACCTTGTAATAGTTACCGTACTGCACAGTGAAGTCATTCGCTTTCTCCACGATAGTCTGGCTGATAGGCAGAGCGAATGGCTCATCCTGGTACTGGTCCGGGAAATAGTTCACAGTGGGATCGAAGTTCGTGATGCAGCCATCTGCGGCTTGCTGTGCAGACGCAGAAGCCTGAACGGCCAGCGAGGCCACCAACAACGCAATCAGGGGGTAAGCCATGGCTTATGTTCCTGAGAGTTTAGAACCAAGAAACGAAACCTAGCCTGACATCCAAAGATAAAATGCAATGGGCTACGATGAGATTATAGGAGTTGCCGAGAGGGGGAGGGAGGCGATGGAGCGGAGAGCAGAAGGACGTGACGTGACGTCACCTCTGTAGCCAGTGGGGCTGCGGAAAGTCGGATTGCAGGATTCGTGGCTGGGGGGGAATGCGGGGGATATGCGCCAAGATTGTCCACCCTCCTTCCGCAGAGAAGGGGGGTCCGCTGGACGCCTAAATCAGCTGAACGGGGGGGTGCGGTGCAGAGCGAAGAGCGAAGGGGGGAGAGGGCGGATTCGGCAATTGCGGCTGGTGGCCACCGCGGCCACGTCGGACAATCGCCAAAGGCTACCCGGCTGGGAAGCGCCTTTGTAAACCGCTAGCGTGGCAGACCAGAAATCCAGCGCCACACAGCTAAGTGCCCAGATTTGCACAATGAGCCAATCGGTAATTGCACTGAATAGTATCGGAAGTGCTCGGGCAAACCAAAACTTTTCGAGACGGTTATCTGCGGAGATCCAGGGGTTGCATTCTGCTTGCCATGTTTGACAATGGTTGAATTCACTGTAGCACATCCTTTAAAACCATATTCGTTTCCATTAAGAGAACTGAAAAGCACACACTGGTATATCCAATCACCACAATGTTCATAAGAATGAGCAAGCCTGTGCCGTCAAGACGGCTGATGTTAAAACAGAGCACTCAGAGAGATCTCATCAGACACAGGCATCTACAAACAAGCACACAAATCACATTCTCTAAAAGTCATCAGGCAAGTGGGACGTCAAATGCGCCTGCACAGCCAACGCAGCCTCCTGTTTCTCCTCGTGCGTGCGCGGCTTCAACCCCTTGTTAAACTTCTTCTGATACACCCTCAGCGGCACAAACGAGCATGTCACCTTCCTCCCCGCATACACCCTGCCATGCAACATATGCGCCGCCCGACTCGCACTCTCCTCTCGCGAAAACTCCACATACGCCCGCCCAACCCTCCACTTCTCCACCTCCCTCTCTCCCCTCCGTGCTGCATCCACCAAATCCCCCATCCCTTTAGACCCAGCCAGCACAATAGCCCCCGGTTGCCCTGGCTTACCTGCTTCTCCAGGCTTTCCCACCTGTCCTGGCTGGTGCCCTAGCAACCCCTTGCCAGCGGCAGGGGGCGGAGCACCAGGGGCAAATGGGGCAGGGAAGCGGATAGAACCTGGCGCAGCAAGAGTAGCAGCTGGGGTGGCGACACCTGGGGGAGGTACATCTGTGCCTGGGGGGACGAGGATTGCGGGGCGGAAGGGCGCGGGGAAGGTGACTCCTGGGATGAGAGGCATGGGGGGCCCAGGAGCAGGCATGCGCACAGGCACAGGGAAGGCCATTGGGACTCCAGGGGGTTGTATGGGGACAGCAGTGGCAGCAGCGGGTGTGGCTCCAGTGGGAATAGGAGTAGCAGCAGGGGCTGTGGCAGCAGCAGGGGAAGGTGCTGCTGCTGCAGCTAATTCCGGCTTGCTCTCCTCACTTCCCTTGCCCTCCCTGCCCTCCTTGCCCTCTTCTGCTGCTCCCTCTGCTACAACCGCTGCTGCTTCTTCTGCTGTGCCCTGCTTGCCCTCCACTGTGACCGCCTCCTGCTTCCCTTCCACCTTCTCCTCCTCCCCTTTACCCTCCTCCACTTCCACCTCCTGCTGCTTGCCCTCCGCTGCCTCTGTGTTTCCTGCCGCCTCTCCCTCGCCATCCACCTTTCCTGTAGCTCCCTCCTTCCCCTCACCCTCTCCCTCCTTCCCACTCCCTTCCTTCCCTTCACCCTCCTTCGCCTCTGCACCCTCCTCCGCCTTAGCCTCCGCCCCTCCCTCTCCCTTCTCCCCTTCATCCTCTGAGGCCGTCTCATACACCTCCTCCTTAGCCCCTTCCGCCTCTTCCTTCCCCCCTTCCGCCTCCTCCTTCGCCCCTCCCTCCCCACCTCCACCCTTCCCACCGTCCTCCTCCCCCTCTACAGTCACATTCAGATCAAGGGCAAACCCTCCCCCACCCTCAGATTCTTTTGCCTCAGCACCTCCCTCCTCCTTGACCCCTGCCGTCTCAGCAGCGGCAGCAGCAGCAATATCTGCCAACCCATCCAACGCCTGACCTTCCCCCTCACCACTCTTGTCAGACGCACACACACCGCCCTGCACCTCCTCCACCTCTTCCTCCCCCTTCTCCTCCTCTTCCTTCTCTCCCTTCTCTACCTCCCCTCGTGTCTCTGGCACTACCTCCACCACATCACTATCCGAGTCACTACCTTCCTCCTCTGCTCGAGCTACTTCGACCACAGGCTCTCCTGCTGCGCCTTTCCCACCCTCCTCCGCGGCTCGAGCCACCTCAACCTCCTCAACCACAGGCTCTCCTGCCGCATCTGCGCCCTCCCCACCCTCCTCCTCTGCCTTCCCTTCACCCTTGCCCTCAGCCTCCTCCTCTGTTTCTTTCATCTCCTCATCCCCTCCCTCCTTTTCTGCTCCCTCCTTCTCTCCCCCCTCCTTCGCTCCTCCCTCCTCTCCGCCCTCCTCATCATTAACCACCTCCTTCACATCATCATCCTCCCCTTCTGCTGCTGCACCTCCCTCTGCTGCTCCTTCCACCTTCTCCGCAGCAGCCTCCACTGCCTCTTCACCCACCACTGCATCAGCCTCCTTCATTTCCTCATCCTTACTCTCCTCCTCCTTTTTACCCTCCTTCATTTCCCCATCACCCCCACCCTGATCGTCCCCCTTCTCAGCATCCTTCTCCTGTTCCCCGGTTTCCTCTTTCACTTCCTTAACCGCATCGCCTGCTGCTGCTCCCTGCGCTCCCTCTTTCTTCTCCCCTTCCTTCTTCTCTTCCTTCACTTCCTCCTCTTCCTGCTTCACCTCCTTCACTTCCTCCTTCACCTCCACTTTCCCTTCGCCCTTGACCTCCGTTTTCCCCTCGTCCTTGCCCTCCTCCTCTTCCTCCTCTTTGATCCCTTCCAATTTCTCCTTCACCTCTTCCTTCACCTCTGCTTTCTCCTCCTCCTCATCGCTGTCACTGCCGCTATCATCGGGATTGGTGACATCCTTCGGTCGAACAATGTGCAGCGATTTCACGGTGCCAAACCTGCCAATGCAAACGTACAAAATTCCACACACAAAAAATCAGACCGAGTATTGCACACACAAAAATCAGACTGAGTCTTGCACACAGGCGCGCAGACAGGCATACATGCGTGCAAACAGGCATGCAAGTGAAAGTGATAAAAGAGTAATCTGTGAAAAGCTGAAGAGCACTAGAGGCATGTCCTCCTCCATGTCTTCAAGGACCACACCACATCACACCGAACCACACCACACCGCACCACACCACATCACACCGCATCACACCCCACCACAGCCCAATGCTCTCAGCACACACCGCTTGCACTCAAGGCGAATGTCCTCCTCTAGGTCCTCAAACTCCTCCTCGCTCATCGCCTTGAGCTCCTTCTTTGTCATCTGCACGGGTGTGCATAGGCAAGGTGGGAGGGGGTGGAGAGGAAAAGGGGGAGTGTGTGTGAATGTGTTGTGGGTGCGTGTGTGTGGAGGGGAGTGGATTGCAACTGCTGTCAGCACTCGTGGCAATTGTCTTCCTCCAGGTAACAGTAAACGCACCTTCAATGCACCACACATACCAGATTGCAATGAATGCACCAGGCAATACCTAGCCTTACAACTGATGGTTGCAACTAGCAGTTGATGGTTACATCTAACATTCTAGATTGCAATTTAAGGTTACAGCTGACGCAGTAGGTCATTCAACTAACACCAGGGTACAATTGACAATTACGACCAGCATCCAGGTTAAACCAAACGCACTAGGTTACAACTACCAGTTACAACCAACGCAGTGGGTTACAACTAAGGGTTACAAGCAACGCACCAGGTTACAGATCTCCAGAATGCGTGTTGGGGTCTGCATGAGCGGTTTGGCCTCCTCGGGAATGGAGTAGGTGGGCGTGGCGTCAGCAGGGGGCTGCAGAAAGAACAAGGAGGGGAAGGGCAAAGAGGGGGGTGGTATGGAGAGGGTGGAGATTTGGAATACGGATTCCTGCAACGGTGAGCGGTTTGGCCTCCTCGGGAATGGAGTAGGTGGGCGTGGCGTCAGCAGGAGGCAGCAGAAAGCAAGAGGGGAAGAGGCGGAAGAAGGCGGGGGCGGGTGGAGAAAGAGGAAGGATTTGGCAGACGTATACAGTGAGATTGAGCGGCTGTTATTCTCAGTCAGCTACTATTTCTCAGAACAACAATCACACAGTGTGGGCAACAGCACGGTGCAATTTCCAGAAGAGCTCCCCGTCCCCACAAAGCTCTTCGGGTGCATATTGTTCCTGTCGAAGGAGTAAACTGCATCGCACCGTACCTCCTCAGGTGCATCAGGAGTGGCTCTGACGACGGTGAGGATGGCCTGATGGCCCAGAGGCAGCCCGTTTAGTATTGACTCGCTTCAAGAACATATTGCCCTTATCACAACCTTAAAACCGCACCGTACCTCCTCGGGCGCGTCGGGGGTGGCTCTGACGACGGTAAGGATGGCCTGGTGGCCCAGAGGCAGCCCATTCAGCCCCGCCTGTGCTGCACTCGTCACACTCGGATCCATGTACTGCGGTAACGGGTCATGCAGTAACAGATCACACAGTAACGGGTCACACAATAGCGGGACATGCATTAACAGGGCACAGAACAAGGGGTGTTGAGGGAGTAAACACCATGTAGCAGCAGGTGAGAGAAAAAAACGACTAGCAAGGTGAAAGGGGAAAGAGAAGGGGCTGGGGGCGGGATGCGAGAAGAGGGTGGGGTCAAAACATTGCGTGTGAGGGTGGGGAAAGAGGGGGGGGAGATGGGGGTGTAAGGGGGGGTGGGTTTGGGAAGGGTGGGAAAAGTTGGAATCAGTACGAGCTCGAATCTACTTCAAAAACAACGAAGCGAAGGCGAAAGTGGGGCAAGAGATGGTGTGGCGGGGGCTGGGGCCGCACTCGCATGAGCTTGGAGGGAATTCATGGTCCAGGGTTTAGGGTGCAACGGAATTTGACTCCAGCAAACGCGAATGCGCTGGTGCGTGAAAACGCGAAATAGCACAGGTGCTGACCTCAGCGAATGCGAATGCGCAGGGGGGCTTGGCGTTGAGATCCAGCTCCCGGCGGAACGCCCTCAGCTGCCCAAGCGCCCAGATGCTGGTGCTTGCTTAAACCCACATGGAGGTTTCGGGTACAAGAGACTGACTGACCTCAGTGAATGCGAATGCGCGCGGGGGCTTGGCGTTGAGATCCAGCTCCCGGCGGAACGCCCTCAGCTGCCCAAAAGCTGACAGCACCTCCCGAATCTGATCAGCACGGTGCAGAGGGGTAGAGGGGAACAGCGAGGCACATGGGGGGGTACAGATGGAGGTGCATCAATAGATGGCGGAGTATGGAGCACAGAGCTTCGAACGTGGTGGAAGAAAAAAAAAGGCATTCAAGGGATGCAGAGAGGCCAAACGGAAAGGAAAAGGCTGCAATGCTGCCAGAGCCATAGCGCTTCAGTGTACCTTTTCATCTGTTAGCGATGGGGGAATGCCGCCTATGAACAACTGCAAACACCATGCAGCATCACATAGAGAAACACATGCACCATCACATGCCCCATCGCATGCGCCATCACGTGCAGCATCACATGCACCATCGCATGCACCATCACATGCACCATCACATGCACCATCGCATGCACCACCACGCAAAGCAGAAGACAGTAAGGAAGGGAAATAACATGAGTGATGAAGCGCCTGAGGATAGCTGAATTTGTTAACCCACCCCGCCCAAACACCTCATTGGCGCACCCACCCTCCCCCATGCCCCACATGCCACACCCACCACCGTTTCACACCTAATACAAGCTCGCGCGCACCTTATTGGGCCCGTCCGGCACAACGTTGGTGATCACCTCCTTCGCCGCAGCTGCCACTCTCGGCCCTCCCTGTGCCCCACCCCATGCCTCGTCCGAGCCGAGCCCTAGCCCCCCCACGCCCACCTTCCACCTCATACCAAGCTCGCGCGCACCTTATTCGGCCCGTCCGGCACAACGTTGGTGATGACCTCCTTTGCTGCCGCTGCCACCGGCCTGGGCACGCCCCCTCCCCCGAGAGCTATGGCATTCGCGTCTGACCCGGGCTGTGTGAGGGGAACAGGAACGGCAGGGCAGAGCCAGGGGGTGGGTGTGGCGGGGAGAGAATTGGGGAGGGAAGGATCAGCTGCCACTGGCCTGGGCACGCCCCCTCCCCCGAGAGCTATGGCATTCGCGTCTGACCCAGGCTGCATATGGTGGCAGGGAGAGCGGGGCAAATGAAGCAGCGGAAGGAAAGGGCGAGGGGGCGGAGGGAGGAAGGAGGGGGATTAGCTACAACAGACAGAACTGGGCAGATTCTTTCCGGAAAACAATGGATGGGAGGGTGGAGGGAGGCGGGAGGGGGAGAGAACGGAGGAGAAGGGGAGGAGAGGGAAGGGGGGTGGGGAGAGGGGGGAGAGGGGGGGTGTTAGAAGTAAAGCAAGACAAAATACGTTGAAAAGGTGACAGAAAGCGGGGGTGGGATTTTGGGGAAAAGGGGAAGGAAGGGTAGAAATGCGGAAAACGCGATGAAAGGAGAAACTGCGCTACAACCTTTCCGTGAATTGCGAAAAACCGCCTTAACACGTGCACACAGCACTCTCACTCACGGCGTGCATGGGGTTGTAGTCCTTGGGGCGGCGGATCTTGAGCCCCACGCCGTGCAGCACGATGCCGTCCAGCTGTAGCGCGGATGTAGCGTCCTCAGGCTTCTCAAACTCCGCGAATGCGAACCCCTTCTCCTTGTTCGACTGCGCACAGCGAGGCGCGGGAAGAGCGCGGAGAGGGGAGAAGAAGGGGGGAGGGGATGGGGGAGCGCGGGGAACGAAGTGGGGGGAGATGGGAAAACAGCGGTTGGGCTTCTCAAACTCCGCGAACGCGAACCCCTTCTCCTTGTTCGACTAGGCATATAGGAAGCGCGGTGAAGGGCGGAGGGGGGAGCGGGAGAGCGCGAGAGGCGCGGGGAAACGCGCACGGGGGGGGGGGCAGGGGAGGGGGGGGGAGGGTGGGGGGTGGGGGGAGGTAGAGCGCCGGCGCACGAGAAAATGCGCGGGTGGGCGGCGAAGTGAGCAGGGGCACGGGAAACAACGCGGGGACACGGGTAAATGCGAGAGGGGCCGGGGAAGAGTGAGGGGAGTGCTTACAAGTCATATCCTACCCTAACCCATACGCACGAACCACAACCATCAATTGCTGACCGAAGCACTACCCACAACCACAAAGTACGGACTGGAAATCCAGCGCACTAGCTGTAACCCCAACAGCAACCCCAACAAACTACCCGCAACCCTGGCGCAGCAAGAACTGTGACGGCGATGCAGGGCTTGCGGCAGTCCTCCACGGCGTCGATGGACGCCATGGACGCGTTTACGAACTCCAACAGCTCGTTGTCCGTCAATTGCGGTGATACAGTCCCCCACAACTAACCGCCACCCCAACCCACTAACCGCCGCCCCAACCCACAAGCCACAAGCCCAGCGCACAAGACCGGCACCCCAAAGCAGTAATCGCCACCTCACGCACAACCTCAGCACACTGACCGTCAACCAAACCCATTCACCGCAACCCCAATGCAGCGCAGTACGAACCGTGACGGCGATGCAGGGCTTGCGGCCGTCCTCCGCGGCGTCAATCGACGCCATGGACGCGTTCACGAACTCCAGCAGCTCGTTGTCCGTCACTTGCGGCGCCACGTTCCCCACGTACAGCCGCCGCGCCGGCCGCGTCAGCTGCGCCAGCGATGGCGCCGGCGTCCCCGCCGGCTGCGACAGCAGCCCCGCGCCTTCCGCGCCCCCCCCGGGCGCTCCCCCAGTGAGGCTCGGCGGAAGGATCCCCTGCGCTGCGGCGGCTAACGCCGCCGCTGCCTTCTGTTGCGCCTCCTGCAGCTGCTGCGCAAGCTCCGGGTTCATCGGCGCGGAAGGTTGCGCGGGCGCCAGCGGTTGCGGGGTGTGCTGCTGCTGGTACGACTCAAACCCCCCCGCGTCGTATTGCGCAGCGGGCGCAGGCGGAATGAGATGCTGCTCCTGCGCGGCTGCGGTGATCGCCGCGGCGGTCTGCTGCGCCGCCGCCACCTGCTGCGCCAGCATCGCGGGATCCAGCATCGCGCTCATACCACTCATTCCGCCCATCCCCCCCATCCCCCCCATGCCGCCGAAACCGCCCATTCCGCCAAATCCCATGCCGGCGGTCTGCGTGGCGGCAATTTGCTGAGCGGCTGCCACGTGTGCCATGACCGACGCAATCGCAGGGTCCACACCTTCCGGCCCCTGATCCCACCCGCGCTTCTTCCTCCTCTCCGGCGACGGCTGCTTGCGAGAGCGCGACCCCGGCGACGGCGTGCGATTCCCCTGCTCGCCTTCTCGTCGCCTGGGCGAGTACCCGCCCAGGCGACGGCTGCGACGGTAACGGCCTTCCGGCGATCTACTCCGGTCGCGTTTCTTGTCGCGATCGCGATCGCGATCGCGGTCCCGGTCCGAACCCCTCTCCCGCTCCTTGTCCTTATCTCTCCCCTTGTCCTTGTCTCTGTCCCGATCCTTATCCCTCCCGCGATCTCGTCCTCTGTCCCGATCCCGGTCCCTGTCCCGCTCGCGATCGCGGTCCTTGTCCCGATCTCGACCCTTATCCTTGTCTCTGTCTTTTTCTCTCTCCTTATCTCTGTCCTTATCTCTGTCTTTGTCTCTGTCCTTGTCCCTTTCCTTGTCGCGTTCTTTCCGGTCCTTGCGGTCTTTCTTCTCCTCCTTGGCCTTTTCGGGTTGCGCTTCCGTCACTTCCACGTCTCCCGTGACTTCCTCCTTATTAGCCTCCTCGTGATCCGCCATGACGCAATTTAACGCTGTCACTAGATGGTGTCTCTTCAGTCCCCCTTGAGCGATACTCCGTGACTGCCTAAGCCAATTAAGCGTCAAGATCTGAGCTGGGCGGATTCAAAACGATTGTACTTGATAAGCAGAGAATAGACTGCTTATGAAAACCAGTACGAGGCTAAAGAAATGGCATGCAGTTTTTTGTAGCCCATAAAAGTGCACGCCGCCGAAGCGCACGTGTACAGGACCTACCGTTTCTGGATCCAGACGGAGGACCCAAAACGCGGCCAGGCAAGCAAGCTGGGCACTGGAAGAATGCCAGAAATGCGCTGGGGACCTCGGGATTTGTTCAGGGTTCAGGGAGGAGCTCTGGATGCTGCGGGTGGGGAGGAGAGGACGTGGGGAAGAGGGGGAGTGAAAAGGCAAGAGGAAGAGGAAGAGTCATGCAGGAAAGTGGAGGCCTGACTGGGGTTTGAACATTCGCGAAGGATGACGAATTGCCGTAAGTGCTAGGCGAACTAACGAATTTCAATGGAGGATGGGTCGCGTCCCGTAGCTACAGTTTTACACTTCGCCGCCACATTATTTTCGTGAGTTTCGCAAATCAGTGATGTAACAGACGGTCCACACAAGCCGTGCCCAACCAAATCTTCCATCCCATCCCCACCACCTCGACCTTGGGCCTGGTTGGTCCTCCACGATCTAGAACCTCGAGATTATCGTTTTTGATTCAGATTCTTCTTTCAGATTTTTGTCAGTTAATTCCTTCACTCACAGATCATTGCGTTGGCGTGCCGACCATGGCTGCTTTGAGAATTCTTAGCCTGTTTCTTGTAGCACTCGGCCTCCTGTGTGTCGTTCAGAATGCGATCGCCGAGACAGCCGAATCTGCTGCCGACGTTCCATTCCTGCTCGTGGCTAAATCCGTCAAGATCAAGAAGATCAAGGAGAACGATGAGGACATTTCGGTGAACATTAAGATTTACAACGCCGGCGGAAGGTAATTTCTTTGTTGGATGTCGTAACATCGTTGATCGTTCATCACATCGAAATCAAATTTCCGTTCTTTTTCCCTCATTTTCCATTTCGCTCGCAGCATCGCGTACGATGTCTCGTTGGACGACGAGAACTGGCCGTCGGATCTGTTTGAGGTGGTCGGGAACACCACCCAGTCCTGGGACTCCCTTGCCATGTAAGTTATCTCGTAGCTTGTCCAGCGATTAGGTTTTCCACTGGTTTCGTTTTTCAGAATCACCTGCACGAAGTCTACCCTTATGCCGATTCTTTTTAGAATAATGCATTGATAGAAGGTGATCAGTTCTGTATACCTTCTCCGTGGCTCCGATCTACGGTGTACACTTATCATTGTCGCAGGGGAACAACGGTTTCGCACACATACGTGGTCAAGCCCAAGGAAAAGGGCACTTTCATCACCCCTCCAGCTACCGTCAAGTTCCGAGTCACATCTAAGGCTCAGCTTCTGGTCAGTCATGCTAACTCACAACCAACAATAATCTAAAGCTAAAAAATCCACGGTTTGACTGGGAACTAAAAAGTTAACATTGAAGACTTCGGGACGTATGTTGGTTTTCGTCAACTTGAATTTGATCATGTAATGTTTATGCTTGCTGATTCGCTTCTCTCAGACGGCCAAGTCGACGGGCGTGCCTGAGCTGGATCTGCTGGCTCCTGTTGATCAAGCCGCCAAGTACCTCTGGGTGAGTCGCCGTTTCTTCTCTTCCCTTCTCTGCTTTTCCTTGTAAAATTAAAGGTTGGGACGAATCAAGCAAGCATTCAATATCAAGATCAGTTATTGTAGAGTGAAGCCCCCATACTTGTTCATCTGCCGTGTGTTTTTTTCCCCTGCTCTGCCTCCCTTGTGTACAACTGTGCATGTGGCATGGCCTTCACGTTCTGATGGGCCGACAATCGTCAACAGCTCAAGGTACGCATTGATGACCCCGAGCTAGGTTACCCCTTTTCTGCATAACTCCTCCGTGTGATTTCCTCCACAGAACCTGTTCCCCCCCCCACCCCATTTTCCAACTTTCTCGGATTGTTCCGTCCATAGCAAATTGCTAGCCTCTTCCCTTCAAACCCTACCTCAATTTGCAACCTTACTTGCACTCTCATTCACGCGCAGTCTCTCACCCACAAGTGATCTCACCACCACACTCCACTTCCCCCTTGTCTCCATCCACCTTGTCACCACTCTTCCCCTCCTCAGGATCTAGCCATTCAGTTCGGTCCTTTGGTGGGAGCGCTTTCCCTCGTGGCTGTGGCAATCCTCATTGTCTTCGCACCCATCACATCCAAGAAATCTTCCAAGAAGCGCCGATAGACAAGATCCGTGCGACCAGAGAGTCCTTCAATGCATCCAAGGAAGTAGGGATTCCCACTACCTGTTAGTGAGCATCCTTGCTTCCCTGCTACGCGACTGACGTTTGTGTTAATTGCAGGTTATTTCATGAAAGCCACTCTTCTATAGATGGAATTCTCGCCACGGCTGGGCTGTGTCGAATGACCTGCATGCCAGTTAGATGCTGGGTGAGGACTGATGAGGGTACGCCTTGCGCATCAAGTGTAGTCACAACAAATGTATTAGTGCATGCAGGGTGTGATGCAGTGACTACAACGCCATCAAATGCTGTATGCTTCCATTCCATGTACCAAGCATTCTGTGGATCCTAAAATCAATGAGGTAAATTACTAGGGATCATAGTCAAATGTATGCTTCTTCCTCCCTAATCATTACTTGCATTGCAGGAAACACTTTCTGCCCACAAAATCTGTGGAATCCTGTTCACGATTTTTATTGGATTATTGACAACTGCTCAGGAGTGCGCTTTCAAAACATGTCCCATCAAGACAAAATTGGCCTACACTCTGAAACCTTCGGCTTTAGCCACTGAGCAACCACTCCATGTGCTGCTGGCTGCCTTGGCTCATTTCACTTGCCCCTACATGCACGAGCGGAGTGAGGTTGCTCAGCCGTGCCAGCAGTACCTGCCTGTGACCAATCTCTTCCACACGCCGCGTCGCCGCTATACTTCTTAGTGCCTGCTCCACTACAATGGCAGTCGGGCGATACGACGGATCCGCATGTGTACACCACACAACCAGATTCTTCACACACTCCAGTTGAAACCCCGAAGGCTCGCCTTTAGAGTGCTCATCCTCCTCCGGTGCTGCTGGTTCTGCATCTGCTGCTGTTGGAGTGGTGCTAGCTTCCCCATCCGCACTGGGGGTCGGAAGGTCGGTGTCGTCCGAATCGTCGCTCTCACTCCGAAAGAATGAAAGCGCTGGTTGGCTAGTGGCGGCAGTTTCACCGGATGCAGGGGTTTGGTGTGCAGGCAAAACATTGAGTGCTCGGGCAAAGCCCCATGCACTTGATAATCCAGGCGTCCTCATTACCTTCCCTACTTGCTGCCCCTCCTCATGCTGGCTCTGCTCCTGCTGCCCCTGCTCCTGCTGCTCCTGCTGATGCTGCTGCTCTTGTTGCTGTTGTTCCAACCCCCAGCTCAGCTTCCCAGGTATACCCCCAGGACTTCTTCCAGGTGTTTTCCTGGGAGTCCTCCACGGGGACCACACACTCACTCTACTGCTCACACTTAACCCCGTAGTGTTGCTGCTGATACTGCTGCTCATGCTGTCAAACCCTCGGATCATGCTGCTGCTGCGACTATCTCGCATGATGCTGCTGCTGCGACTATCTCGCATGATGCTGCTGCTGCGACTATCTCGCATGATACTGCTGCTGCGGCTGTCAAACCCTCGAATCATGCTCCCGCCTCTGCTGCTCCTGCTCATGCTGCTGTCCCGGCTAACCACGCTGCTTCACAGCATGCTGCTGCTGCGCCCGCTCCTGCTCATGCTGCTGTCCCGGCTGATATCACCACCACCACCACCACCACCACCACCACCACCACCACCACCACCACCACCACCACCACCACCACCACCACCACCACCACCACCACCACCACCACCACCACCACCACCACCACCACCACCACCACCACCACCACCACCACCACCACCACCACCACCACCACCACCACCACCACCACCACCACCACCACCACCACCACCACCACCACCACCACCACCACCACCACCATGCACCATGCTGCTGCTCCTGCTGCTGATATCAATCTGACTGCTCTCTCCATACCTCTCAGCAGAACCCACCACACTGCCACCACCAATATCACCAGCACCAGCAGCAGCAGCAGCAGCAGCAGCACCAGCCCCGGCACCAGCACCACCAGAACCACTAGCAGCGCTTGTATTGCGGCCACCTCCGCCTCTGCTGCCACCAGCACCAATGAACGGAGCAGCAAGGGACTGCCATTGCGACATGAAGTTTGGTCCAGGGGCGTCCGATGGTGATAGGACGGGAGATACGCCCTGCCCCAGCTGACCTTGCCCCTCATGCACCTGCACCTGCCGCTGCTCCTGCACCCGCCCCTGCTCCTGCCTATTCGCCTGCCCCTGCCCGAGTGCTTGAATCTCCTGCTCACGTGCTTGTATTTCTTGTGCTTGCGTTGTTCCGTGGGGGGCCGGTTGTGTGGAAACATTTCCTTCACCTGCCCTCGACTGACCCAATCTGGGTATGCCGCGGTAGGAGATCGAGATGGACGGCAGGAGGCGTGAAGTGGACGGCCCAGATCGTGCGAAAGAGGAGGCCGAGGGGAAGGAGGCAGGAGGCGTGGCGCTGGGGTGGAGAGGATGTGACGTGGATGGCTGGGAGAGCGGGAGTAGGAGATGCTGTATGAGCTTTCCCAGGGGAAAAATGTCGTTGGATGGGTGGAAGGGGCCTGGCAGACGGGAGAGAGGAATTTGAGGGGGGTGGGGAAGGGAGAGACATGATGAATTGAAGAAAATTTGAAGAAGGAAAGGAAGACTTTTCAGTAGCGACTCAAACCTGGAAGAGCAATGGAGAGAGGGCACGAGGAGTGGAGGCAGCAAGGGTAAATGAAGGCTGGGAGCAAGTGCAAGGAAGTTCAGGGCTACTACTAGAGGGACGGGCGGCCTGCATTGGAGCCTTGGATGGAAAAAAAGGGGGGGAGGGGCCACGGGCTATTGGGGAGAAGGTGGCCATGTAAGCCGAAACATCCCTCTCTGCTTACCAAGTCTGCTCAGTGACGGGTCCAGGTACATCGAACCAGCAGCACTCGCATACGCCCGCGCATTCCTCGCAGGGAATAGCGCCCTGAGCCTCAGATCCGTGGGCAGGCCGTAGTCCGCAATGACAGCCAGCAGCCCGCTGGCCACTCTGAACGGACTGCTTTTCAGGGGCAGCATGCAGGGCCGGTCTGTGGGGATGCCTGTTGCTGCTGTGAAGAGCGTCACAGGGTCTGCGTCTAGCGGGGCCGAGGCTACCAGCGCGCTGATGTCCACTCCAGGCATCACAGAGGGTCGTTCTGAGTCCGCTGCTCTCTCTGATTCTTTCTCTGATTCTCTCCCTACTCCTCTCTCTGCTCCTATCTCTGGTTCTCTTCCTGCTCCTCTCTCCGTCCCTCTCTCTGCTCTTCTCTCTGCTCCTCGTTCTGTTCTTCTCTCTTCTACTATCTCTGCGCCTCTCTCTGCACCTCCCTCTGATCCTCTCGCTGTTCCTCTCTCCTCTCCACTCCCCTCTCCTCCCACAGCTCCTTCCACAGTTGTCTCTGTCGGTCCCGCTGTCGACGAACCTCGCTCTCTCATTCCCTGCACAAACGCCCCTCCCTCCGCTGCCAGGCTCACGCCTCCCCCTTCCCCTCCTCCACCCCCTCCTCCTCCTCCGGCTGCTCCTGCTGCTCCTATTTCTGCTGACGCTGCCCCCGCCGCTGCTGCTGCTCCAGCTGCTGTTACCCGCTCCACCACCCCAAGCGCACCCCCACTCAACCTCTCTGACCCACCTCTCTCCACCCACTCATCTCTCAACCCCTCGCGCTTCTCCCACAGCAGCACGTTAGCAGGTCCCAAGGACCCATGCACCATCCCCTGCCGGTGCAGGTATGCCAACCCCCCGGCCACCTGCACTAGCACGTCTAACCGCGCCTCCCACCCCTCCATCCTCCTCTCAACGCCCTTCCAAGCCTCTTCCACGCTTGCCGAGCCTGGAACGGGGGTTCGGTCCGGGCCTGACGGGCCAGCTTCGGCAAGGGTGGTGGGGGGTGTGGTGGTAGGGTGGGGGAGCGATGGACTGGCGGCTGCTGCTTGCTCTGAAGCTCTAGCGCTTCGGGAGGAGCGAGTGAAGGAGCGAGTGAGGGAGCGAGAGAGGGAGGGAGTGGGTATGTGGGGCCAGCAGCGGGAAGGGGAGAGGCGGTGTGAATCTGCTGCACCACCACCACCTTCACCACTATCACCACTGCTGCTGCTGCCACCATTGTCATCATCACCATCACCATCATCACTTGCCCCACTAATGCCACCATCCTTCTCACCATCCTTTCCATCATTCCTCTCCTCGTCGTTGCTCTCCTGAGTGGTGGTAGCTGCTAGGACTGCAGCAGCTGCAAGTAGATCAGCAGAGACTCGACCAACAGGCCTCGGAGCAACAAGAAAAGCGCTTTCATCCCCGCCTAGAGCAGCCTCGGTTCTCCCACTAGCAACATCACCTCGAGCACCACTACTCCCACTGGCAGCATCACCCCTACCACCACTCCCACTACCGACATCACCTCTACCACTACTCCCACTGGCACCATCATCTCTTCCGCTCCTTGCTCTGGCGTCTTCCTGCACTACCGACTCTACTGAACGCGCCAAATCTGCACCTCCCTGGAAGAATCTGGGGCTTGCTCCTCTTCCCACATACTCTCCTGGTCTGACAGACGTGCTCAAATCCTCAACTGTGCCCGAGCCCCTTACTGTGCCCGAGCCCCTTACTGTGCCCGAGCCCCTTACTGTGCCCGAGCCCCTTACTGTGGCCGAGCCCCTTACTGTGGCCGAGCCCCTTACTGTGGCCAAGCCCCTTACTGTGGCCGAGTCCCTTACTGTGCCCGAGTCCCTTTGTGCGGGAGGGTCTTCTTGATCTGCCCCTCCCTGAGAAAATCTGAGACTTGCTCCTCTTCCCACATACTCTCCTGGTCTGATAGACGTGCCAGAATCCTCAACTGTGGCCGAGTCCCTTAGTGTGGCCGAGTCCCCTTGTGTGTCCAGGTCTTCTTGTGCAGGTGATTCGTCACACTCTAGAATCGCAGCACCAGCGCCGGAACTGCCGCTTTCACTACTCGATCTCCCCTTCGCCTTTCCTCCTCCTTCCCCCTCACTCCCTCCACTCCTCCCCTCAGAAGACTCCTCATCCTCGTCATCCTCCTCCTCCTCCTTCTCATCGTCACCATCACCATTATCATCATCATCACTATCCTCTTTTCTACCAGAGAAGCACCCAGCACTGCCACCACCAAGCGACCTCCCACTCCCTCCCGCACCCAATCGCCCGCTACCCCCTAGAACCAACCTCCCACTGCCTCCTGCCCCCGATCGCCCACTCCCCCCTACGCCCGACCCCCCACCAAGCGACCTCCCACTCCCTCCTAGCAGCGACCTGCCACTGCCACTTAAACTGCCACTTATGCTGCCACTTATACTGCCACTTCTGCTGCCACGTTTACTGCCACTTATGCTGCTACTGATGCTACCTATACTGGGGATGGTCGGCAGACGGTTCCGGGCAAACCCGCCATTGCGAAACCGCTTGGGCTGCGGAATCGACGGCGAGGATCGCTCGGCGAAACCCACGGGGCCATCAGCGCCGTCTGTGGCAGGGGCGATGGTGTGAGGGAGAGCGACGGAGAGGGGACAGGCGAGAGGGAGAGCCTCTGTGGGTGCTGAAAACGGGTCAGTAGCAGTAGCTGATGCAGCTGGAACAGCAAGTGAGACAGCTGCTGACGCAGGTGATGGGGGAGTGGGAGCGGTTGAGTGCGGTAAGTGAGGGTCACCAGGGCCGGGGGCGGATTGGAAGAGGAGTGAGGGCGTGGGGGAGGGAGAGTAGCCGACGAGGGGGAGGAGGGAGGGGTGGGAGAGGCGTGAGAGAGCACGAGCATGTTCCTGATAAGCAACAACCGGGGGGGTTGGGGAAAGGGGGGGAAGAGGGGAGGGGAGGGGAGGGGGGAAGGGGGGATAGGGGGAGGAGTGAAGCAGGGTGAGGGGGGTTGTTGAGGGGGGTTGCGATACGCAAGAAAGCCTGGGTTCAGGGTTCCACGAGCAAATCTTTCTCGCAATCCCTTCTCTTTCCCAGTCCCGAGAAAACAGCCCCGCCTCGGTCTATCCGTACCTGCAAGGCAGCTTCGGCTTCCCTCGAGAGCGAACAGCCTTGCCCACCAAACCTCTTCACCCTCAAGCCGCTTGACCCTCCCACCGGCCCTCTTGCCGAACCTCCTGCCATGCCTCCTGCCGAGCCTCCTGCCGAGCCTCCTGCCGAGCCTCCTGTCAAGCCTCCCGCCGAGGCGCCTTCATATCCTGCTACGCTTTGCCCAGGTATGGAAAACACTGTGGAGTCCCATCCTTGGCTGACGATACAGCGCTTCGAGAAATGCCACGTGGCTGCAGTAATCCAATCCACGTCATACTCTCTAAAGCCCAATAACGGCTCATCCATTCTAAGAGTACGAGCAATAGGATCGCCGCTACGAACACCAGAAGCAGCGCGATCAGTTGTCGAGCCTGGCTCCGCTGCGACGGCCGGGTTGCTGTGCATCTGCCGAGCCGCGATCGCGCTCACAGCTCCGTCCCCTTGTCGCCCATCCGCGGGCGACGCGGTCGAGTCGTCGCACAGCGGCCGCTCGGCGACGACGGCAGTCGCCGGCGAGCCTGGCGGCGAATCGCCTCGCGTCGCGTGCGGGGATTGGTTGAAGCATGTGAGGAACAGACCATGGGAACTCATGGGAAAGGATGGACCCGCAATGGCGGAACAATCTACTAATGGAATCAGGATTTCTCCACGTCGCCCGTGTACCAATAAGACCTAACGAAGAATAAATAAAAGGTAAGAATAATAGGCATACTCGCGCCCGCTCTGTTGCTAAGAAAGCGATACATCGGACCCGCGGCGCCCCGTTCAGTTGACGCCAGACCCTGGCTTTAACCGGCTCTTCCCCGATCGAACGATCTCCGATTGACGATCTGGTGTAGTTCTAAGGAACATGATCGGACGGCTTAGCTTTCTCGATCGTCTTTCAAGTATGAAACGCCAGACAGAAAAATCCTGGGCTGTATGCCTCAAGCGCGCGACTCGGAGGAACAGACGACTTAGGACGGATCGCGAAATCTTGAAATGCTAAATTGCTGAGCAATCTTGCAATGCCTCTCTCCAAATTAGAGCTACTTGTGCTTCAGGCAACGCTGGTCTGCTACTTGTCGTTCGATCCAGTCGCTGCGTGATACTGAGAATGAGAACAGTACGCCGGGGGGTGCATGCACTAAATGCTTCAGGCGACGGAAACGCCAACTGGAGGAGGTAGTGAGTATATACCTTTCCTCTTCAACTTCAAGTTGAGTACAAGAAGACTCTCGTCGGACCATATAGTTAACAACTTGAGTCCTGAAACCCTCTCGCTGATGCTCGCTCGGGTTTTCGCCTGGACTTAACGAGCTCGTTGCGAACGCACACCGCGCGGTGCGACGCTGACGGCGGAAGGGGTCTGCCACACAGCGGTGTGGACCACAGACTCCGCAATAATATCTGAAACTCGGTGAAATAAAATCGACGTCTGGGCGAGCGTGCACGCTGCAAGACTCTGTCAATCCAGCCACGCAGCCAACTACAGCTCTCGCCTGCCGTGGCTTCACTTGTGCCGGCTGGTTTGCTGCTCTCCACCCGAAATAGTCACCTCCTCACCGCATGGTTCTCCTACGGTATCACTTATTACAACCACTCATGATCATGTGACGTGACGTGAGTCGTTAGTCGTGACTCGTGGCTGTGAACCGCATGACGGTGTAGCTTGGATTGGATCTGTTTCGTGTTGGTGGTGGAAGGGGGCTGGTCCACAGCTGAACCTGGCCGCTCGTCTGATTTCGCAAGCTGCAAAATGAAGAAGGCGCACTGTCGCAGAAGCTCGTCCAATCGTTGAGAACGCTTTCTTCCAAGGGCGACTGGACAACAGCCAAGCCTACCCGACTGTTGCGTGGCCCGCAAAAGGCGTGCCCACGCCCAGCCGCAAAGTCGCCGAGTAGTGTGCGAAGTAATTTCGACCGCATCCGCCACTAGCTGCGACGGTTACGTCGTTACTCTCTTGCGATTACAGTCCAACTCGGGCTGCTCTGACCGGGCCGGAAATTTGACAGGTTGCCACGTCACCCATCAGATTGGTGTAAAGCGCACAGTCCCCACCCAACGCGCATCGAGAAGAAAAAATGTGACTGCTGTATGGCGAGCGCGTCAGCAGGAAGAGACAAAAAGTTCGTCCACCAATTACATCCTTAGGCCGGCTGCAAGGCTGAATCAATCAAAGGAAAGCCGGCGTTGAAACCGCCTTTTCTTCTAAAGCAATCATTTCTCAACTGGAATCCGCTGTATCATTCGCTTGTGGTCACGACACGAAGTTGAACTCCACCCCAATGGAGTTGTTACCGCGTACAACGAACAATTCAGCCCACTACGATCTTGTCATGTGTTATGTATGCTGAGGCTTGCAATTCTACAATTGCACAATGCTTGTACGTTACTCATCTTTGTTCTCACTGGTAATCTGAAGTAGAGAGCACTCCCAAAATGCATTTTCCAGCCTGCAACCGTCACATAGTGGGCTCCTCTTATACAAGTACTTTTACAAAACACATGTGGGCCCTGCAGATGGCATTCCATTCCACCCACCCACACCGCAGCAAATCCTGTTATGGCGTGCCACGCCATAGAGCATCTTACGGAATGGCACGCTGCTACGGTACTACATCATGGCATGTCACGGCACGCACGCCATGCAAAACCACATCCTTACCCCCATGGCAGGGCTGCCGTTGCCCCCATGCCATATCATCAGTCTGTCAGTGCCACGCCATACAATGCCACACCATGCCGTAATTCACAATACCATGCCGCACGAATGATACACAGACGTCACCACACCACACCACACCACACCACAGTGACCCTGATCGCTGTAGGGAAAGCAGCACACGCAATGTAGCAGTGGGCGAGGCAAACAGCACAGGGCGGATCTATTAGCGACACTTGTGAACTATTGGAAAGGAGGTTTAACGAGGGTAAAGTACAACCTCAGCGGTCGCCGCATTCCCCGGTCTGTTAGCCAAACCGGCGAAGCGATCACAACGAAGCAATCGAGACGAAACAAACAGTAGACAACTTTGGAGGCGCCTCGAAGGTCAAACCGACGAAGCGATTACAACGAAGCAAGCGAAACGAAACGAACAGTAGCATAGAAGAGCAAAAGCCATTCTCAACGTGTATTTAAGCTCTTAACAAACGACATCACGCGCTACTGCATATTTCCACACGACTTCACGGGATTGACTGCTCTAAATGATTAGCTTACTCGATACCCCAGCAGCCACACACTCACTTCGAAAGTGATGCACGTGGTAATCACCAAGGGGCCGTCTGTGACACACTCCTGGTGAAGGGGGGAGGAGGGAGGGAGGGATGGAGGGAGGGAGGGAGGGAGAGGGAGGTAGGGGGGAAGGAGGGAGAGAGTGAGGGAGAGAGTGAGGGAGCGAGTGGAGCATGGGAGTGAGAGACAGGCAAAGGGAGGGGGAGCAAGCACAGCACGAGGCGGGACTCCCTCAGCACGAGGATGTGCGCCGTCTCGTAGCCCAACACCATCAGACCCCCCCCCCCAGCAGCCACACACTCACTTGAAAGGTGATGCGCCGGCTTATCACTACGAGGCGCCCCATCAGCCACACGCTCACCTCAATGGTGACAGTTGGGAGATGCGCAGAGTTATCACAAAGGGGCCGTCTGTGACGCAGTCCTGGAGAGGAGGGTTCGTGGCGCAGGGAGGAAGGAGAGAGAGGGTTTGGTTTGAATTCATGGATAGGAGGGGGAGCAGCCGCACACGCACTTCAAAGGTGATCCGCAGGGTGCTTATGAAGTGACTGTCTGTCACATACCCTGGAACGCCCAACGCCCACCATCACCCAAAGCACGCACCTCAAACACAATCGAGTAGTGGCTATGCTGGTTGTGCAACCACAGGTGCATCTGGTCACTGGCACGTTTCCTTGTACCCTTTATAAGCTGCCTGATTTCTACCTTGGTAAGATCGCAACTCTCTGCCTGAAGGAGGTGTGGGAAGGTGCGGGTTGAAGGAGATGCAGAAGCGGGGATGGGTGGGAGGTGCGGGCGTTAAGGAAGTTAAGGGGCTGGTGGTAGGTGAAGTAATAGACCTGAAAGCTGGGTGACGGCGGAGACCTACCACATGATCCTTCTTCATTCGTTTCTTCCTTCAGTCGAGATGTTAACAGCTACGATGACGATCATGCAAAACGAATTCCGCCTGTGTAGTTCATTGAAACCAGTGACAATCAGAGACCCTAAAGAAGACCTTAGAGACGCGTCAAAAAGCGGCGGATTCCAGGCGCGACAACATCTACGACGAGCCATGAGAAAAGAAAAATACTTCCAGCTAACGTCGAACGTCTCTTAGGCTAGCTCAACGCGATGACCGTCGAACGTCTCTGTCGTTGCGCGGATCTAGGGACTGATAGTTGCGCTTATAGTCAAGTCAGTGATAGCGCTGATTACTTCCCTGACAACTGCGCCAATCATTTCGCTAATGGTGCGCTAAAGGTCGCGCCGATAGTAGCGCTGATGATAGCCCTGATGATTGCGCAAGTTGCGCTGATTGCTGCGCTGAAGTTGCGCCAATCATTTGAACTTCAAACCACATTTTTCACCGATTTTTTTGTTGATACAAACTGCACTGAACATGCAATAATTTGAGCAGAGTAATCTAAGTTTCACGACAGTGTCAAACTCATATTATATAGCTTGTGTAGGCTATAGTGGGGTAGACACTATGGGGTACAGTTTCCTAGGGTTTCCTACTTGTACCCAACTTTGTGCTAGTTCATTTCATTCCTCAATTCTCACATGGTATAGAGCAGGTTCCCTCGTGGGAACTTCCTAGGGCCCACCACTGAACATCGATTTTTTTTTCTGCCCTGAGATCGAGTCGCTCCTGACCGAGGCGCGCCCTGTGTGCCGCCCTCCCCTTCGCGACCCGTCGCGCCGCCCTCAGCGGCCCTCCCCCTCTCTCATGGCCCCTCGCGACCCCGTCGCCGCCCTCCTAGCGGCCCGTCGCGCCGCCCTCAGCGGCCCCTCCTCCACGGCCCCGTCGCCGCCCTATCGCGGCCCCGTCGCCGCCCTATCGCGGCCCCGTCGCCGCCCTCTTGCGGCCCCGTCGCCGCCGCCGCCCTATCGCGGCCCCGTCGCCGCCCTCTTGCGGCCCCGTCGCCGCCCTATCGCGGCCCTGTCGCCGCCCTATCGCGGCCCCGTCGCCGCCCTTTCGAGGCCCCGTCGCCGCCCTATCGCGGCCCCGTCGCCTCCCTCTCGCGGCCCCGTCGCCGCCCTATCGCGGCCCTGTCGCCGCCCTATCGCGGCCCCGTCGCCGCCCTTTCGAGGCCCCGTCGCCGCCC